CAGCACCCTGTGCCAGCACAGTAAGGTAAACATCTCAAGCAGAACAGGCCAAGCTACTTTAAAGTAGCTAAAGACACAAGGTGGATGAGGGAATCTCTTTTCATGGACCAGCTTTTGAGCTTACACAGAGCTCTGTGTACGCTCTAAAGCTTCTCTCTCATCAACAGAAACTAGTCCATGAAAAGGTATTACTTCACCTACCTTGTCTCTAACATCCTGGGACCAACAAAGCTATAACTCTGCAAGCAGCTAGAGAGCAAGTTTTATACAGCTCTTCAGTTTGGACACTGTCATTTAGTGTCCTTTTCCAAAAGGAGGGAAACCTAAACAATATTTAGAAACATTTTACAGATATTTTACCATATGGACTATGAAACTGTACTATTTAGTCAATTACAGGAGGCTTTTATGAAATTGAGCCAATAGGCTCAGAAATGGAATGTGCATGTGAAACTAGTCTCAAATCTAACAGTTGGGTGCATGTCTGTCTGTGTCTCACTCTCAAAGACTAACAGATACACTAGGTGACCCAGCTTCAGGTGAAATAGTCCTAATGAGCATCATGACCATGTACAATTGACACAAGACAGTTTTAATAAAGATTACTTTGTCCAGAGGGAAATAGCTTCCTTTTACTACAGTCCCAACTTAAATGTTAACGATAACTGGATATTCAGTATTTGTATGGTACAAGTCTTGAAATGAGGATATAAAACTGCTATTCCTTAATCTCTCAGTGACTAAATTCAGGATTTCCCAATAAAGTGTTAATGCAAGTTATCCTAACACTTTGCATCAGGAGCTTTGTAATGCTAGCACTAAGGTTATCACAACTAGAGGTACAGTAACTGGCATGAAGAGCAGTTTATGTAATATATCTTCTGACCTATTTCTCAGACTGTTTGGATGGCAGGAAGGTGTGGGAACTTTTCTGAAGTGAAGCTTCTGCAAAGAAGATGATTTGCTATGGCTTGCTTCTTCCCAAAGTGTGGCTTGTTTCTAGGATTCATGATTAATCAAAGGCTTTGATAGCAGTGCCAGAAGTTTAGTCTTGCAGACTGACAGGCCATACTTTAAGTTTTCCATCCCTTTCCATCTGCAAGCTGCTCTTGCTCAAAGGATAACATTATCTTTTCTTCCACTAAAATCAGATTGAGGCCAAGTCATCTTGTTAAGAGGTGCACAAACTGTTCTAACTAGCCAGCAGGGATCACCATGGCAACAGAACAGAGGAACTATGTACAATCCCTGAACCAAGATACTATCTTTACCAGGTAAGACTAGTTCAATAGATGTGGTATCATTCTAGTCACATCAACTCCTGCACTTTTTGAAATGGACACTGTCCAACCTTCCCTTAAGTTGCAGTTCTCTACAGAGTTTAATCAACATTTTCATCTAGTTAGTAAGCTAGAAGTTAAGATAACTACTTACTCAGCCCAGCATTGAATATGGAGCACTTTTCATCATGAAAAAGCTACATTTAAGAAAGCTTGTGTCAGTTGGCAATTCCAAGACTCGCATTGATTGTACTAGTGTTGCTGAAAAGTGCTTTCATGCAACACTGTCACTGAGCAGCATGAAGAGGCAGTCAGACAAGTTTCTAGTGTCATGATAAAACAACTAAAAACTTACTTGATCAATATTAGTTCTTCAGATAGTAAAGCAAACAGAGGTTTTCAATGTCCACTTTCTCAGAGTGATTATAAGTAGTACCCATCACTGTATGAGCACATGAAATGAAAAGCCTGCTATATCCTGCTTTAAACTCAGAAATGTTATTGTGAATGGCAATTTGTGATTACTCCCTTTTTACCAAAAGTAGAGTGCTTCTCAGAGAAAATTCACAAGCCATTTGGGTTCAGCAGTAGGTGCTGTTTTTGCAGCCTGGATAAGCTATTTGACCACAGGTCTCTAAAGATGATGTGCCAGGGCACATTTTCTCAAAGATATCAAGCAGGCTAGATTCATAGAAAACTTAAAGCAAAGGAGTAATCTGGCTCTTTCAGACAGCTTTGCTTTTTACACTATGTTTAATTCCCTATTAAGGAAGCGAGTGAACCACACCACACTTACCTTCCACATCATTAAAATGGAGAGGGTGGGTTATTGATTTAACTAACATTAAATTTGCAAGCCTGTTACCATGTTACAGAAACAGTCCAAGCTCCATAATTAATGGAAAACTCTCTGTAGTCAGAGTAGTATTCTGAATGATGATATGTAACCTTTTCCCAAAGGGCCCTTTCATTAGTTGTTCCAAAGACATTCAAAGCATCGTACACCGACAAGCAGCAACTAACCTGACAGATCCAGTTCCTCAGTTGACACTAGGTTGGCTAGACTCCAAGTCTCACTGCGGGCTGCCAACACAAATTTGTGAGCTCTGATGTGCTTGTCCCCAACCTTTATCTTCAGATCACTGATAGAAGAAAAAAGCACACATATATACAAACATAACCCCCTGTGCTTAGGCACTTATGGACTCTGCATCTGTCACAAATATCTACAAGGTAAAAACATTTAAGCAGCTAAATTTAGGCTGAATTGTTTACTATTAGGTAGAAGCCTCTTGCATTAATATATTAATGCAAAATGCTAGGTTCATTCTTTCAACTAGTTAAGTAAGATATTTTTAAGAGTAACCCAACTGTCATTGCCACAAGGAAAATACAAGCTAAGCCCTGTGATTTTCATTTAAAAAAAAAATCCAGTAAGCAGTTCATACAGCACAGACCAAAATGAATAATTGAGGAGATGGGGAGTGTAGAGACCCAAGATTCAGCCCAGAGAATACTATGTTGCAGTCAGCCACACAGGCTTTCAGGAAAGATTACTGAAAGGACTATAAACAAAGCACATTTGACAGAGCAGTCAACCTGTATGAAAGCAAAAACCCAGAAATACCCCATTTCCAGTACAGCTGCTGTCAGGGAACACTGATCCCATACGGATCATTTTTAGTCAGAGCATTCTTTTTATTCAGAAGCAGTACACAGACTGATCATTTTCTCCATCTAACATATAGCTAAGGGGTTAGGTTCTTGAACATGGATTTTTCATCCATTTGTTCTTGCTAACAAAAGCAATCACTACTCCCCACCCCACCCCAAACCTAACAAAGCCTTCCTTGGGAACTTAAATGTTTATTTCCAACAGAAATCATTTATTTTTGGGTCTAACATTTGGACCACTACCCTATTCCTTAAAAAAAAAAAAAAAAAAAAAAAGGGGGGGGGGGGGACGGGACACGACCAGCTACGAAACCCTCAACACTCAAAGCAGAGCAGATCTAGGTTATGATTCTTTTTTGTCTATCAATGCTTTCATACAAACTCTTTTGGCTATCGCACTTGCTTAAGTTTGTACATGGCAAGATACAAGTTAAAAAAAATTTAAAGTCAAATTTGCAAAGTAGTATTTGTTAGACTAGTTCCCCAAACAGATTGATTTTTCCTGATCCTTGTGTGCGTTTTTGCAGAGGTGGTAGTGTTTTTTGTGTTTGTTTTTAAGACAGACAATCAACTGCTTGCTTGATAAAGTCAAAATTACCTGGCTCAAAGTTTTCAGTGCACAGTGTTAGACTATTAAGAGCTGTCCTTAACACATACTCCATAACCCATTTTCCATACTGCACTTTACACTACATTTGCTAGTACAGATTTAATGCAATCTTTTCTTAGAAGTGGCACATACCACTGTCCTAGATTTATTACCTGGATGGCCAGAACACAGTCAGCTTAGAATCAGATTTCCTGCACACTAGAAAAAGATGAAATATAGAACCTTTTCTGGTCCTATCCTTTTAGGAAGCGACAGACTTCTACTCAGAAGAATAGAAGATAATGTTTTTTTTTATTTTTTTTTAAATGTATTAGCATATTTCACCCAAACCTAGGGTCTTCCACTTTAAGACCTGGTTACTCCTATTCAGAAGGACTTGAGCTTTTGCACAGGGCCTTAAAAACTTTAAAATCTGTATAATCACTGCATTATCATAATTAAGTAGCAGAGAAACGTTCCCATTGCCTTGTTTTATCCATGGAATAAACATTCCCTGGAAGTCAATTTCCACATGAAATATGACAAATGCAAAAATGAATAAGAGGTGTTCCAAGAAAAAGAGCCTGAAAGATGGAACAAGGCATACAGTTTTATTCTCCAAGCTGCGTTTCATTTCCAATAACTTCAGAAATAGTACAAAAGTCTAGCTCTACACTATGTTGCCAATACAAATAGTGAACAAGGAATGCTCTTTCAGGATCATCCAAGTCTCAGATAAAGGACTGTCTACAAAGTGCCAGCAAAGCGCACTAGAGGGATGCGATTTGTAAAGCGCTCTAATTGCCCCATGCAAATCCTGCTGGCCCCCTCAAAAAAGGTTCACATTAATAGTCAGATTAGGTACCATTTAGAGACGTCCAGAAGACACCAGCAGGGTCGGTGGGGGTGGGGAGTTAGAGCACACCACGTTAGAGCGCTTTACAAATCACACTCCTCTTGCATTGCTACGCCATGTAGAAAAACCTAAAGAGATGGTTGGTTTTAAGAACACTATTTTGTAAAAATAAAGCAGGTGTTATCTGAACAAAATAAGACACCAGCATCAAACTTCACACCGCAAGTTTCCCGTTAAGTTATCCTGAAGCATACCATGTTTGAAGAGAACTGGTTGATTAGATTCATCAGACAGGCCAATACTTGATTTTAACCAAATACACAATGAAGGACAGTCCCTCCCCCTTAAGAGTTCAGAATCTGAAATAGCTGGTGAGGAAGAGATTTATAGTTGCCTCAATATTGCTTCTAGTCCCAAGATGCATTTCTTACCTATACTGCTCCTGCTCATAAAGCTCAGCTACAATGGTGAGAAGTCGACTGATGAAAGAGTCACTGGCATTCTCTTTGTTAGACTGGGCAGCCAACAGAGTACATCTCCTCTCTGTATCAGCTAGCTTCTTCTGCAGCTTTACATACTCCTGGCGGAGAAGCATTAAGTGCTTCTCTAACTTGGCCACCTCCTCTGCAAAACAGACAAATATGCAATTCAGTTGAAAGGCTGAACAAGCCTTGATATGCTTCTTGGCAATTCTGTGGATATCCCCTCCCCCAATTTACTATTTATATTTCAGCAAATCTGTTCCCCTTAATTTGCTCACTAGCATTATCTATTTGACCAGCACATAAAAATGAAAGTTTACCAGTCACACCCTGTCCCTTAGAGTGAACGCCTACAGTGTTATACCAGCTTAACGGGAACAGTTTCCAAACTGATAGTTAAATTTAAACACTAATTCGACAAATCCTCAAAGATCAACACGCTTCAAAAAAAAAAAAAAATCCACATCTTTTACAGACAAAGCAAAAGCAAACATTTGGAATTTTTGAAAATTTGATGCTCTGTGGAGCACTGGGATTAGTACAAGTTCAGTTTGATCACTTCTCCTGTACTGTGGATTGGTGGTTCAAACCTTCCCCTTGTCTCCCCCCCCCCCCCCCCCCGATCTAGCTGTTTCTACTGCAGTCACCAGGATATCTGACTAACGAAGGCTCAACAGTACCTCTCTCCAGGATCCCACAATCAATCATGTTCAGGGAGTATTGCACAAAAATATAAGTCACTAAAGGATACATATATCCCACTTTAAAACTTCTTCAGTGTTACCATCACCTAATGGCCTAGAAACAGAG